GCAGGGAAACATCAATTACTGATTATTTTAAGTTGAACCCAAATCCGTGTTCTTCATGTGCAAGTTCTTCAGTTGAAAATAATTCACAAAAGATTATTATACTAGAAAATATTTCCGTAACACCCGTTGACCGTACTGACACATCTCATCATGAATGTCTGAAGAGTATTGAAAATATTTACTTCAATGAAACCGACTCGGAAACCGATAAAGAAAATGTTTCCTCAGAAGTATCCGAGGAAGTATCAATCGGCGTAACCGAGTGTGTAACTCCAACAAAGACTGAAATCTCGACTGACACCCTTACACGAGTTCCTACACGAAAAATTGTTACTCGTAATAATTCTCCCCAGACTAGCTCTTCAAAATGGAAATTAGAAAAGTACGGAAGAAGTGAAAGATCTAAACGCAAAAGAGACAATATTGACAATAATCAACTGTTTATAACAGACTTTTTTTCTTTACTAAATGACGCAACAAATGTTTTATCTGCTAATCCCGAAATAATTAATCAGATCGATGATACTCTTCAAATTAGAGGAGAAAGCGATTTCTCATTGAAAAATGCGAGAAAGTATGTGACAGGGTTGCTAAAAATTCTTTGTGAAATTTCCCTAAAAAATACAAAACATTCAAATATACACACTTTTGACGACGTTATTAAAAAATTTAGTCTTTATTTATTTTACATTGGTGGTAGATTTTTGTATGAAGTCCTTTATACAAATTTAAAGGGCGCACTCCCAACAATTTTGACCCTGAATAGATATGTTAACAATCAGAATAAGTATTTTGATGAAGGCAGTTTCGACTTTGCCAATCTTAAAGTTTTTCTGGACGAAAGGAATCTTCCCTCGATTGTTTGGATTGTTAAAGACGCCACCAGGATAACGGGAAAAGTTGAATACAATTCTAGAAACAATACAGTGATGGGATTTTCTCTGCCACTTAGAAATGGTTTGCCTGTAACAGATGCATATTTGGCGACTTCATCAAGAGTTATGCAGCAATATTTCCTAAATTGTCCTAAGGCCAACTGCGCCTACGTAATAATGGCGCAACCGCTGTGTCAAAACCACGAAGTAGTATAAGGAGATAAAACGAGCGTACAAAAGTGGTGGGGGATTTGCTCCAAAATAGGGCGAACTTAATTCTGAGTTATACCTTGTGGCTCTGACGACAGCGCCCCTTGTGTTAAAACTGCAAACTAAAATTAAATATGCTTTTTAGGTTATAGTTGCTTGCAATTTGTTCTGACAGATCAGCTGATTTTAGCTGGCACCAATTTTATATTATAAGAGTAATAAAAATTATAATAATATTGATTAATATTATTATAATTACTTATTATCTAATATTGAGTTGTAAAAATGGTGTGTAATAATAAAATGTAATGGACAACAAAGGAAAAAATTACCGACCTAACCTAAACAGATTAATTTTNTTTCGTTTTTTTAAATGGAAACAACCACTGATTATTCGCTTATTAAATTCGTTATTTTTTTCTGATTACAAAAATATAGGGTTCGACAGGTCTATTTCTTATTGTTTTAGAATAAAGCCAAAAATAAACATTTTTTATAAAATTTCCATCTAGTATCATCGGCGAAATTAAATTTACAGTTTCCTGTAAATTACGGGGCGGTAGGTAAAATCTAAAAAGTTAACAATTAAATAAGAAGATAACTTCTGGTATTTAAAAACAAATAATTTTTTAATATGTAACATTCTAACATGTCAAACTTTTCAAAATTTTCGTAATTGATCATAAAAACAGGATTTTTAAAGTGACACTTCAGAAAATTTTTGAATAAAATCAAATGTTGCTATGGTTATTTGAATTAAAAAAAAAACACATGAGCGCCATCTATCGATAATTTATTAAGTCATTTAAAAATAATATTAAATCGAAATAGAAAATGTGAAATAATGCAATCTATTGCAACTTCTGTGTAAAACATATATAAATTAAACAGTTCAACAAATATATTTGTTTCAAATATCAGAAATATGTTATTTTAATTTTTAGTTATAGAACCGTAATTTACAGGAAACTGTAAATTTAATTTCTTCGACGACACTAAAAGAAAAGTTTATTTTTANCCTAACCTAAACAGATTAATTTTAATTAGTTTACAGTTTTGCCACCGGGGCGCTGTCGTCAGAGCCACAAGGTAAAACTCTGAATTAGATTCGCTCTATTCTGGAACACAGTCGCCTATTGCCGTTTTATCTCCTTATACTACTTCGTGGTCAAAACGCACCAGCTTATTGTTTATTAGTATATGGCACTGACAACACATTTATATACAAAGACGTTCTTCAACGATGGAAATATTTAGAAAAGGAAGCTAGTCGTTATGGAATAAAAATATAGGGTTACTCCTCTGATGGAGATACGCGGCTTCTAAAGTCTATGCGTATAAGAGCAAAACTTCCTTTCAAACAAACGCAAGACCCTAATTGGCCGTGGTTTCAAATACCCATAGACAATGAATTTAACCCTGAAAACTGGCAATGTTTTACACAAGACGAGGTTCATATCAGAACTAAACTACGAAATCGCCTACTTTAAGCCAACATTTATTTGCCGATAGGAAATTTTACTATATCCGTAACGCATATTGAAGAACTAGTGAAGAATCAACCAAAAGACAAACATTTTTTTAACGATTTCCGATCTAAATCCAACAGACCGAATGAACTTCAAATCAGTGGAAAAAATTACACCCTTAGAAGTATTGGAATTGCTGAAGAACGTAGAAGGTTCAGAAGGCACAATCTCGTATTTGAAAGTCATCAGTTTCATATTAAACGTATTCTTAAATAAAAACATATCTTTAGAAAAACGACTGTATTATATTTGGTACGCTGTGTTTTACTTCTGCATATGGATTTATATTGGATAAAAGAACACAAAACATATAAACTAACCGATAATTTCATCGCTTTAAACGCCTACCTCTGTGTAGAACTAAATGCACAATATTTGATAAAACTTGTATTTATATTTTCATTCTGATATGTTTTGTCCGTGGCTATTTGTCCGTGGCTGGATTTTTTTGTATGGCCGAAAACACCAGATATCGCGGTTGTAGATGAAGAGTGTATGTATTTTACGGTCCCATTAATTTACTTGGTAACGGCATATTTCAAATTAGCAGACATGATGATGTAGAAATAAAGAAATTATACAAAGCTTTCAAACAAAATTATAAAAAGCTTTAAATTTGTTTTGTCAGTATTATTATTTTCTGTTTTTATATAGAAAAACTCAATGTTTTTATTTGCCAAAGAATATATGTTAATTTTTATTGACTTTTATTTGGGTGTTTTANGCGGAAAAACAAAAGACGATAGCGCTATGAGGTTTTCGGCATTAGCAGTTTCTCGAAAAACGAGATCATGACAGCTACTTTTCTTCTAACTCTTATAGTTTTCGAGATAGCCTATTCGGACATCGAATTTGAACCACCTGTAAAGGCTGGTTCGTTATTTTTTTCTGATTACAATAATATAGGGTTTGACAGGTCTATTTGTTATTTTTTTAGAATAAATCTAAAAATAAACTTTTTTTTTGTGTCGTCGAAGAAATTAAATTTACAGTTTCCTGTAAATTACGGTACTATGCCAAAAATTAAAAAAACATGTTTCTCCAATCCAAAACAATGCAATTCATTAAATATTTTTGTATTAACAGTTGTTGTAATAAACATAATTATTTGTTTTTAAACACCAGAAAAATAATATTCCGTAATTTAAATACCGCCCCGTAATTTACAGGAAACTGTAAATTTCATTTCTTCGACGACATTACTATCCGTGCAAAAAGTCAAGGCCCCTCACTTTAAAAATCGATATCTTCCTAACCGCTCAATGGAAAAAATTGCGGTAAAGTTTATTGTAATCATAAAAAAAGACATACTTTTGAAAATGTTAAAAATCGGTCCCGTACTATCTTTAGGTAGTACGGTCAGAAATGTTCGCAATTTAATAGTGATTTTTTTAATAATCTATTCCTTATGAACCATGCTACTGTAGAAGTCACAAATCAAACAACAAAAGTTGTTAGTTTTGCAAAAAAAATATATTAGTTTGATTGAGTTAATGTTGAAAGAATTTATGTCTATCAAGTTTGACACACGATTTCTAAAAAAAGGAGTAGTACAACACCCTTGGTAAGTTATTTTAAAAGATGGCCTGTTTACTCAAGTTTCCAAAATGGTACAACACTTGCCATTTTCCTTGTCATAAAAAATATTATTGCCTGTTTTTCTGCAAAAAATACGTTATTTAAAAAATTCATACTTTTCTGTTATTATATTATGTTATTTGTATTTACTTTTTATTTCCTCTTAACTTTGTTAGAAGATGTGCCAGTCAATATCTACGAACTACAAAATGTGGTTTCAACAAGATGGATGCCCTTATGTCTTGCAAAAAGACTCTTTCAAATAAGGTTAATCTAAAGACAAAATTAAACAAACAAATTTATTTATTATTAAATTTATAGCATTATTTTCTTAAAACTAAGGCAAATGCTCAAATTATTATAAATACAAGCTCTGCATCGTCACAGAAAAGATCTTTTTACTTCTTGTGCAAATCTCTTTGCATTTATTTCTTCTGCTGTTGCATAAATATTGTGGCTCAGTTCGGCAAGATTTTCAATCGGTTTTTAATACACTGTTTCTTTTATGCAATCCTAATAAGAAAATCAAAGGGATTTAGACCCAGAGAATGAGGAAGCCACGTAATCGAACCACGACGTCCAATCCATCTTTCTGGGTATTCTATATGCAATCCCATACAGGACAAGCATAATGTGGTTGGGCAACCATCTTGTTGAAACCACATTTCNTACAGGGAAATACTAGGAATATAAGTAGGAAGTATAAGGAATTATTTGTCAAAGGGGAAGTAGGTGTACAAAATTTGAACTAGCGGTTTACCCCTCGGATTTAATGGAATTACAAATGCAAGAAAAACAAAAATAAGCTATGCGGGGTGAGGAGGGTTCCGTCGAATCGAAACAGATGGTGTGTCCCAGACAGTACGTCGCGCCTTTATCTTACCTACATAAAAATAAGGCGCGACGTCCTGTCTGGGACGCATCAAACTTGATAGACATTTCAGACATAACCTCAATATAAGAAAGCTGTCATTTCTATCTCAAACTTTTCACAGGTAAACTTTCATTTGGCTCATTTTTATGTAAAATAAATCGTTTTCGAGATAATCGCTTGTCTCACGTTAAATGGACCACCCTGTATTTGAGGTTGCCTCAATAATTATTGATTATATCAAAAGTTTTTATAAACAAACTGATACTTTTTCTTGCAAAACTAACGACTTTTGTTGTTCCATTTGTGACTGCTATAGTAGCATGGTTTTTGACGAATACATTATTAAAAAAATCACTATTAAATTGCGAATATTTCTGACCGTAGTACCTAAAGATGTGATGTACGGGAACGATTTCTAACATTTTCAAAAATATGTCTATTACCACTTAACTAAGAGACATAGAATTTTTTTCTTATTTTGGCAGAACAGGTTGACGTTGAGTTTCGGGACACCTGTATATTTTTTTTTATATTCAAGAGCCAATGAAAAACAGTTTAGCATTCTTGGTTAACTGACTTGGTCCTTTTCAGCTCCAAATTCAGTTTAATTAATATTTTGTTTGATTATGTTACTTTTTTATTTTGTAGTTTCTTTTTTCTAATTCTATTTGCATGTAATGGGGTTAATAAATATATGTATATTATTATTATTAATGGTATCAAAATTTTTTATATACAATATTTGATTATAATTAAATTTACAACTTTTATTAATACAATTTTGTAATATAACGTAATTTTAATTTCCCTCTGAACAGTAAAAACAGTATTAATTTATTTTAGGCCTATTGATGAAACGGGACGATCTTTATCAACACTTTCAAATAGTAGCTTTGAAGATTTAACGAATGTTGATGGTGCTTTACCCAGTTTATATAAATTTTGTGCCCGAACCGCAACCGGGGTTTTCCAGAACACCTTGAATACTCTAAAAACTGCTTTACCCGGAAATCAGAGCACAATCGATCAAGAAAACGAATTCATCAGTATCGAAAATGTTAATCATTGGACTTACGTAGCTTCGGATTTAAATGTAAGCGCAAAAAAATTAAAAAAAAATTAATTAACCATTTTATTTTAGGAAAACGATTTAAGTATTAAAATGGAAAAGCTTTTAAATGAACGTCGCGCTTTTTGCACCGTTGATAACGCGTATGAAGCCGTTGAATCTTTGGATGTTTTGGATCAAACTTCCGGTTGGAGTTCAACGAAAAAATATGACGGTAATTTTATTTTATTNCTAAGAGACATAGAATTTTTTTCTTATTTTGGCAGAACAGGTTGACGTTGAGTTTCGGGACACCTGTATATTTTTTTTTATATTCAAGAGCCAATGAAAAACAGTTTAGCATTCTTGGTTAACTGACTTGGTCCTTTTCAGCTCCAAATTCAGTTTAATTAATATTTTGTTTGATTATGTTACTTTTTTATTTTGTAGTTTCTTTTTTCTAATTCTATTTGCATGTAATGGGGTTAATAAATATATGTATATTATTATTATTAATGGTATCAAAATTTTTTATATACAATATTTGATTATAATTAAATTTACAACTTTTATTAATACAATTTTGTAACATAACGTAATTTTAATTTCCCTCTGAACAGTAAAAACAGTATTAATTTATTTTAGGCCTATTGATGAAACCGGACGATCTTTATCAACACTTTCAAATAGTAGCTTTGAAGATTTAACGAATGTTGATGGTGCTTTACCCAGTTTATATAAATTTTGTGCCCGAACCGCAACCGGGGTTTTCCAGAACACCTTGAATACTCTAAAAACTGCTTTACCCGGAAATCAGAGCACAATCGATCAAGAAAACGAATTCATCAGTATCGAAAATGTTAATCATTGGACTTACGTAGCTTCGGATTTAAATGTAAGCGCAAAAAAATTAAAAAAAAATTAATTAACCATTTTATTTTAGGAAAACGATTTAAGTATTAAAATGGAAAAGCTTTTAAATGAACGTCGCGCTTTTTGCACCGTTGATAACGCGTATGAAGCCGTTGAATCTTTGGATGTTTTGGATCAAACTTCCGGTTGGAGTTCAACGAAAAAATATGACGGTAATTTTATTTTATTGATTTATTTGTCATTATTATTAATAATTTTTGTTTAAAGATGATATCGACGATTTAGAACTCAACATTCCACTTACAAAAACTTTATTGGATATTTTTTGCGAATCAACTCCGTGTTTGTTACCGGAAGCGCTCGTAAAATCGATATTAATCCTTTTTGGAAGCGTAATCGAAGATTATTTGGTGAATTATAGTAAAAAGTCGCTAAAAAGTGTGAATGGGATGATTGGAAAATTACCGAATGGGTTGCAAACGAATCCTTTGGCTTTAACTAAAAAGGAACTCACCGAAATTTTCGTCGATTTAATTCCCGGTGGGTTAAAGTATTTAGTGGGGGAAGACCTTTTTAGAAGTGCGATTGAAACTTTGGTTTTATCATTACAAAGTCAAAAGATTAATGAAGATATTTTCTTGCAAATTTTTGAGTTGGTTACTTCTTTGGTTATAGAAGCTAATTGTAGTTTATCGCCGACGTATTCTGCCTAAAATTAAGACGACTTTTATTAATTTATTTAATCAATTAATAAATAATATTAGAAATAATCCCTTTATATTAATTTTTAAAAATCACCTATTCATTTGACGTTTATTAAAAGTGATTATGCAAAAAAATTATTTTTTCCTGAACGATTAAGATTCAAGAAATGAAATTTTTTGAGGTTATAAAGGAACGTTTAATGTTAATTTACACCAAATTATTAATATCCAGGGTGATTATTTTATTTTATATAGATTTTTAAAAATCACCTATTAATTTGACGTTTGTTAAAACTGATTATGCAAAAAAATTATTTTCTCCTAAACGATTAAGATTCAAGAAATGAAACTTTTTGAGGTTATAAAGGAACGTTTAATGTTAATTTATACCAAATTATTAATTTCCAGGGTGATTATTTTATTTTATATAGATTTTTAAAAATCACCTGTTAATTTGAAACTGATTATGCAAAAAAATTATTTTCTCCTAAACGATTAAGATTTCGGAAATGAAACTTTTTGAGGATATAAAGGAACGTTTAATGTTAATTTAAACCAAATTATTAATTTCCAGGGTGATTATTTTATTTTATATAGGTTTTTAAAAATCACCTATTAATTTGACGTTTGTAAAAACTAATTATGCAAAAAAATTATTTTCTCCTAAACGATTAAGATTCAAGAAATGAAACGTTTTGAGGTTATAAAGGAACGTTTAATGTTAATTTATACCAATTTCCAGGGTGATTATTTTATTTTATATAGATTTTTAAAAATCACCTATTCATTTGACGTTTGTTAAAACTGATTGTGCAAAAAAAATTATTTTCTCCTAAACGATTAAGATTCAAGAAATGAAACTTTTTGAGGTTATAAAGGCACGTTTAATGTTAATTTATGCCAAATTATTAATTTCCAGGGTGATTATTTTAGTTTTTATAGATTTTTTAAAATCACCTATTAATTTGACGTTTGTTAAAACTGATTATGAAAAAAATTATTTTCTCCTCAACGATTACGATTTAAGAAATGAAACTTTGTGAGGTTATAAAGGAACGTTTAATGTTAATTTATACCAAATTATTAATATCCAGGGTGATTATTTTATTTTTTATAGATTTTTAAAATCACCTATTAATTTGACGTTTGTTAAAACTGATTATGCAAGAAAATTATTTTCTCCTAAACGATTAAATGAAACTTTTTGAGGTTATAAAGGAACGTTTAATGTTAATTTATACCAAATTATTAATTTCCAGGGTGATTATTTTATTTTATATAGATGTTTAAAAATCACCTATTAATTTGACGTTTGTTAAAACTGATTATACAAAAAAATTATTTTCTCCTAAGAAATGAAACTTTTTGAGGTTATAAAGGAACGTTTAATGTTAATTTATACCAAATTATTAATTTCCAGAGTAATTATTTTATTTTATATACATTTTTAAAAATCACCTATTAATTTGACGTTTGTTAAAACTGATTATGCAAAAAAATTATTTTCTCGTAAGCGATTAAGATTTCAGAAACGAAACTTTTTGAGGTTATAAAGGAACGTTTTATGTTAATTTATACCAAATTATTAATTTCCAGGGTGATTATTTTATTTTATATAGATTTTTAAAAATCACCTATTAATTTGACGTTTGTTAAAACTGATTATGCAAAAAAATTATTTTCTCGTAAGCGATTAAGATTTCAGAAACGAAACTTTTTGAGGTTATAAAGGAACGTTTAATGTTAATTTATACCAAATTATTAATTTCCAGGGTGATTATTTTATTTTATATAGATTTTTAAAAATCACCTATTAATTTGAAACTGATTATGAAAAAAAATTATTTTCTCCTAAACGATTAAGATTCAAGAAATGAAACTTTTTGAGGTTATAAAGGAACGTTTAATGTTAATTCATACCAAATTATTAATTTCCAGATTGATTATTTTATTTTATATAGATTTTTTAAAATCACCTATTAATTTGACGTTTGTTAAAACTGGTTATCCAAAAAAATTATTTTCTCCTAAACGGTTAAGATTCAAGAAATGAAACTTTTTGTGGTTATAAAGGAACCTTTAAAGTTCATTTATACGAAATTATTAACTTCCAGGGTTTTTGAATTGTTTGTTTTATATAAATTATTAATTAACTAATGTAATAAAAAAAAATACAATAATTAGTCTATTAGATTTTCGAAATGACTTCATTAGGTATCAAAATAGATTATCTCATGAAAAAAATCCATTTATTTAATTGTTACTAATACAGCTTTTTTTCGGATATTTTAATTAATATCACAAAAACGAAGGTTAAGTAAGCAAATAAATTTGGCTTGGTGGATTACTTTTGCAGCACTTATCGAAATCTTTCTAAATAAGCCTCAAGTCTAATTTGAAATGATTACTGCTGGGTTTCTAATTATAATAATTACGGTGTTCGCATCGTTGGTGATATGGTGGTACTTGATTTTTTATAAATATAAAAATCATTTAAAAATGTTTCCCACCCCGCTTCAAGTACCACTTTTAGGAATTAGTTATAAAATGCGAAATACTGTTGGTAAGTATCTTTAATTAAGCGAAGAAGTGATTTTTATCGATACCTTTTAGACATTTACAGTACAATGGAGACGCTAGTAAAAAATTTCGGCAAAAATGTTTTTGCCATGATTGGACCAATTCCAATGCTTGTTACAACCGATCCAAAAGTATTTTCGGCTATTCTTGGATCCCCAAAACATATTAATAAACCATTCATGTTCACAACAGCTTTAAACCAGGTGGTAGGAAATTCACTTCTTGTAGTAAACGGTGATTATATGATTTTTGAAAATTTGGTCTTATTTTTGATGTATAATTTGACAATTGCTTCTTTAACAATTTTTTCCTGGAAATTTCAATCATATTATCTAATAGTTTTTATATCACATCATAATCTAGAATGTTTAAGGTTCAATTTAGCATATATATCATATCATATCATTATCATTAAAAACACGGCCGATAAGATTTTTTGAAAATTTGGTGTTATTTTTGATTTATAATTTCACAATTTCTTCGTTAACAATTTTTTCTTGGAAATTTCAATAATATTATCTAATAGTTTTTATATCACATCATAATCTAGAATCTTTAAGCTTCAATTTAGCATACATATCATATCATTATCATTAAAAACACGGCCGATATGATTTTTTGAAAATTTGGTGTTATTTTTGATTTATAGTTTAACAATTTCTTCTTTAACAATTTTTTCCTGGAAATTTCAATAATATTATCTAATAGTTTTTATATCACATCATAATCTAGAATCTTTAAGCTTCAATTTAGCATACATATCATATCATTATCATTAAAAACACGGCCGATATGATTTTTTGAAAATTTGGTGTTATTTTTGATTTATAGTTTAACAATTTCTTCTTTAACAATTTTTTCCTGGAAATTTCAATAATATTATCTAATAGTTTTTATATCACATCATAATCTAGAATCTTTAAGCTTCAATTTAGCATACATATCATATCATTATCATTAAAAACACGGCCGATATGATTTTTTGAAAATTTGGTGTTATTTTTGATTTATAGTTTAACAATTTCTTCTTTAACAATTTTTTCCTGGAAATTTCAATAATATTATCTAATAGTTTTTATATCACATCATAATCTAGAATCTTTAAGCTTCAATTTAGCATACATATCATATCATTATCATTAAAAACACGGCCGATATGATTTTTTGAAAATTTGGTGTTATTTTTGATTTATAGTTTAACAATTTCTTCTTTAACAATTTTTTCCTGGAAATTTCAATAATATTATCTAATAGTTTTTATATCACATCATAATCTAGAATCTTTAAGCTTCAATTTAGCATACATATCATATCATTATCATTAAAAACACGGCCGATATGATTTTTTGAAAATTTGGTGTTATTTTTGATTTATAGTTTAACAATTTCTTCTTTAACAATTTTTTCCTGGAAATTTCAATAATATTATCTAATAGTTTTTATATCACATCATAATCTAGAATCTTTAAGCTTCAATTTAGCATACATATCATATCATTATCATTAAAAACACGGCCGATATGATTTTTTGAAAATTTGGTGTTATTTTTGATTTATAGTTTAACAATTTCTTCTTTAACAATTTTTTCCTGGAAATTTCAATAATATTATCTAATAGTTTTTATATCACATCATAATCTAGAATCTTTAAGCTTCAATTTAGCATACATATCATATCATTATCATTAAAAACACGGCCGATATGATTTTTTGAAAATTTGGTGTTATTTTTGATTTATAGTTTAACAATTTCTTCTTTAATAATTTTTTCCTGGAAATTTCAATAATATTATCTAATAGTTTTTATATCACATCATAATCTAGAATCTTTAAGCTTCAATTTAGCATACATATCATATCATTATCATTAAAAACACGGCCGATATGATTTTTTGAAAATTTGGTGTTATTTTTGATTTATAGTTTAACAATTTCTTCTTTAATAATTTTTTCCTGGAAATTTCAATAATATTATCTAATAGTTTTTATATCACATCATAATCTAGAATCTTTAAGCTTCAATTTAGCATACATATCATATCATTATCATTAAAAACACGGCCGATATGATTTTTTGAAAATTTGGTGTTATTTTTGATTTATAGTTTAACAATTTCTTCATTAATAATTTTTTCCTGGAAATTTCAATAATATTATCTAATAGTTTTTATATCACATCATAATCTAGAATCTTTAAGCTTCAATTTAACATACATATCATATCGTTATCATTAAAAACACGACCGATATGATTTTTTGAAAATTTGGTGTTATTTTTCATTTATAATTTCACAATTTCTTCCTTAACAATATTTTCCTGGAAATTTCAATAATATTATCTAATAGTTTTTATATCACGTCATAATCTAGAATCTTTAAGGTTCAATTTAGCATACATATCATATCATTATCATTAAAAACACGGCCGATATGATTTTTTGAAAATTTGGTGTTTTTTTTGATTTATAGTTTAACAATTTCTTCATTAATAATTTTTTCCTGGAAATTTCAATAATAGTATCTAATAGTATCACATCATAATCTAGAATCTTTAAGCTTCAATTTAGCATACATATCATATCATTATCATTAAAAACACGGCCGATATGATTTTTTGAAAATTTGGTGTTATTTTTGATTTATAGTTTAACAATTTCTTCNTACAATACAATGGAGACGCTAGTAAAAAATTTCGGCAAAAATGTTTTTGCCATGATTGGACCAATTCCAATGCTTGTTACAACCGATCCAAAAGTATTTTCGGCTATTCTTGGATCCCCAAAACATATTAATAAACCATTCATGTTCACAACAGCTTTAAACCAGGTGGTAGGAAATTCACTTCTTGTAGTAAACGGTGATTATATGATTTTTGAAAATTTGGTCTTATTTTTGATGTATAATTTGACAATTGCTTCTTTAACAATTTTTTCCTGGAAATTTCAATCATATTATCTAATAGTTTTTATATCACATCATAATCTAGAATGTTTAAGGTTCAATTTAGCATATATATCATATCATATCATTATCATTAAAAACACGGCCGATAAGATTTTTTGAAAATTTGGTGTTATTTTTGATTTATAATTTCACAATTTCTTCGTTAACAATTTTTTCTTGGAAATTTCAATAATATTATCTAATAGTTTTTATATCACATCGTAATCTAGAATCTTTAAGGTTCAATTTTACATACATATCATATTGTTACCATTAAAACACGACCGATATTATTTTTTGAAAATTGGTGTTATTTTTGATTTATAATTTCACAATTTCTTCCTTAACAATTTTTTCCTAGAAATTTCAATAATATTATGTAATAGTTTTTATATCACATCATAATCTAGAATCTTTAAGGTTCAATTTAGCATACATATCATATCATTATCATTAAAAACACGACCGATATAATTTTTTGAAAATAGTGTTATTTTTGATTTATAATTTCACAATTTATTCCTTAACAATTTTTCTCTGTAAATTTCAATAATATTATCTAATAGTTTTTATACCACATCATAATCTAGAATCTTTAAGTTTCAATTTAACATACATATCATATCATTATCATTAAAAACGCAGCCGATATGATTTTTTGAAAATTTGGTGTTATTTTTGGTTTATAGTTTAACAAATTCTTCTTTAACAATTTTTTCCTGGAAATTTCAATAATATTATCTAATAGTTTTTATACTACATCATAATCTAGAATCTTTAAGCTTCAATTTAACATACATATCATATCATTATCATTAAAAACGCAGCCGATATGATTTTTTGAAAATTTGGTGTTATTTTTGATTTATAGTTTAATAATTTCTTCTTTAACAATTTTTCCTGGAAATTTCAATCGTATTATCTAATAGTTTTTATACCATATCATAATCTAGAATCGTTAAGCTTCATTTTAGCATACATATCATATCATTATCATTAAAAGCACGGCCGATATGATTTTTTGAAAATTTGGTGTTATTTTTGATTTATAGTTTAACAATTTCTTCATTAATAATTTTTTTCTGGAAATTTCAATAATATTATCTAATAGTTTTTATATCACATCATGATCTAGAATCTTTAAGGTTCAATTTAGCATACATATCATATAATTATCATTAAAAACACGGCCGATATGATTTTTTGAAAATTAGGTGTTATTTTTGATTTATAGTTTAACAATTTCTTCTTTAACAATTCTTTCCTGGAAATTTCAATAATATTATCTAATAGTTTTTATATCACATCATAATCTAGAATCTTTAAGGTTCAATTTAGCATACATATCATATCATTATCATTAAAAACACGGCCGATATGATATTTTGAAAATTTGGTGTTATTTTTTATTTATAATTTCACAATTTCTTCTTTAACAATTTTTTCCTGGAAATTTCAATAATATTATCTAATAGTTTTTATATCACATCTTAATCTAGAATCTTTAAGCTTCAATTTAGCATACATATCATATCGTTATCATTAAAAACACGGCCGATATGATTTTTTGAAAATTTTGTGTTATTTTTGATTTATAATTTCACAATTTCTTCTTTAACAATTCTTTCCTGGAAATTTCAATAATATTATCTAATAGTTTTTATATCACATCTTAATCTAGAATCTTTAAGCTTCAATTTAGCATACATATCATATCGTTATCATTAAAAACACGGCCGATATGATTTTTTGAAAATTTTGTGTTATTTTTGATTTATAATTTCACAATTTCTTCTTTAACAATTCTTTCCTGGAAATTTCAATAATATTATCTAATAGTTTTTATATCACATCTTAATCTAGAATCTTTAAGGTTCAATTTAGCATACATATCATATCATTATCATTAAAAACATGGCCGATATGATTTTTTGAAAATTTTGTGTTATTTTTGATTTATTGTTTAACAATTTCTTTTTTAACAATTTTTTCCTGGAAATTTCAATAATATTATCTAATAGTTTTTATATCACATCATAATCTAGAATCTTTAAGCTTAAATTTAGCATACATATCATATCATTATCATTAAAAACACGGCCGATATGATTTTTTGAAGATTTGACGTTATTTTTGATTTATAGCTTAACAATTTCTTCTTTAACAATCTTTTACTGAAAATTGCAATAATATTATCTAATAGTTTTTATATCACATCATAATCTAGAATCTTTAAGATTTAATTTAGCATACAAATCATATCATTATCATTAAAAACAGGGCCGATATGATTTTTTGAAAATTTGGTGTTATTTTTGATTTATAATTTGACAATTTCTTCTTTAACAATTTTTTCCTGGAGATTTCAATAATATTATCTAATAGTTTTTATATCACATCATAATCTAGAATCTTTAAGGTTCAATTTAGCATACATATCATATCATTATCATTAAAAACACGGCCGATATGATTTTTTGAAAATTTGGTGTTATTTTTGATTTATAATTTCACAATTTCTTCTTTAACCATTTTTTCCTGGAAATTTCAATCATATTATCTAATAGTTTTTATACCACATCATAATCTAGAATCTTTAAGCTTCAATTTAGCATACATATCATATCATTATCATTAAAAACACGGCCGATATGATTTGTTGAAAATTTGGTGTTATTTTTGATTTATAATTTCACAATTTCTTCTTTAACAATTTTTTCCTGGAAATTTCATTAATATTATCTAATAGTTTTTATATCACATCATAATCTAGAATCTTTAAGGTTCAATTTAGCATACATATCATATCATTATCATTAAAAACACGGCCGATATGATTTTTTGAAAATTTGGTGTTATTTTTGATTTATAATTTCACAATTTCTTCTTTAACAATTTTTTCCTGGAAATTTCAATAATATTATCTAATAGTTTTTATATCACATCATAATCTAGAATCTTTAAGGTTCAATTTAGCATACATATCATATCATTATCATTAAAACCTCGGCCGATATGATTTTTTGAAAATTTGGTGTTATTTTTGATTTATAGTTTAACAATTTCTTCTTTAACAATTTTTTCCTAGAAATTTCAATAATATTATTTAATAGTTTTTATATCAAATCGTAATCTAGAATCTTTAAGCTTCAATTTAGCATACATATCATATCATTGTCATTAAAAACACGGCCGATATGATTTTTTGAAAATTTGGTGTTATTTTTGATTTATAGTTTAAAAATTTCTCCTTTAACAATTTTTTCCTGGAAATTTCAATCATATTATCTAATAGTTTTTATACCACATCATAATCTAGAATCTTTAAGGTTCAATTTAGCATACATATCATATCATTATCATTAAAAACACGGCCGATATGATTTTTTGAAAATTTGGTGTTATTTTTGATTTATAGTTTAACAATTTCTTCTTTAACAATTTTTTCCTGGAAATTTCAATAATATTATCTAATAGTTTTTATATCACATCATAATCTAGAATCTTTAAGGTTCAATTTAGCATACATATCATATCATTATCATTAAAAACACGGCCGATATGATTTTTTGAAAATTTGGTGTTATTTTTGATTTATAGTTTAACAATTTCTTCTTTAACAATTTTTTCCTGGAAATTTCAATAATATTATCTAATAGTTTTTATATCACATCATAATCTAGAATCTTTAAGGTTCAATTTAGCATACATATCATATCATTATCATTAAAAACACGGCCGATATGATTTTTTGAAAATTTGGTGTTATTTTTGATTTATAGTTTAACAATTTCTTCTTTAACAATTTTTTCCTGGAAATTTCAATAATATTATCTAATAGTTTTTATATCACATCATAATCTAGAATCTTTAAGGTTCAATTTAGCATACATATCATATCATTATCATTAAAAACACGGCCGATATGATTTTTTGAAAATTTGGTGTTATTTTTGATTTATAGTTTAACAATTTCTTCTTTAACAATTTTTTCCTGGAAATTTCAATAATATTATCTAATAGTTTTTATATCACATCATAATCTAGAATCTTTAAGGTTCAATTTAGCATACATATCATATCATTATCATTAAAAACACGGCCGATATGATTTTTTGAAAATTTGGTGTTATTTTTGATTTATAGTTTAACAATTTCTTCTTTAACAATTTTTTCCTGGAAATTTCAATAATATTATCTAATAGTTTTTATATCACATCATAATCTAGAATCTTTAAGGTTCAATTTAGCATACATATCATATCATTATCATTAAAAACGCAGCCGATATGATTTTTTGAAAATTTTGTGTTATTTTTGATTTATAGTTTAATAATTTCTTCAGTAATAATTTTTTTCTGGAAATTTCAATAATATTATCTAATACTTTTTATATCACATCATAATCTAGAATCTTTAAGCTTCAATTTAACATACATATCATATCATTAAAAATACGGCTCATATGATTTTTTTTAAATTTGGTGTTATATTTGATTTGTAATTTGCCAATTTCTTCTTTAATAATTATTTTTTCCTGGAAATTTTAATAAAATTATCATATACTTTTTATATCACATCATCATCTAGAATCTTTAAGCTTCAATTCAACATACATATCATATCATAATCATTAAAAATACAACCGATATAATTTTTTAAAAATTTGGTGTTATTTTTGATTTAAAATTGAATAATTTCTTCTTTATTAATTTTTTCTTGGAAATTTCAATACTAATATCATATAATTTTTATATCACAATATAAATTAGAATCTTTAAGCTTCAATTTAACATATATGTCATATCATAATTCTTAAAAACACGGCCGATATGATTTTTTGAAAATTTTGTGTTATTTTTGATTTATAGTTTAACAATTTCTTCATTAATAATTTTTTCCTGAAAATTTCAATAATATTATCTAATAGTTTTTATATCACATCATAATGTAGAATCTTTAAGCTTCAATTTAGCATACATATCATATCATTATCATTAAAAACACGGCCGATATAATTTTTTGAAAATTTTGTGTTATTTTTGATTTATAGTTTAACATTTTTTTCCTGGAAATTTCAATAATATTATCTAATAGTTTTTATATCACATAGTAATCTAGAATCTTTAAGGTTCAATTTAACATACATATCATATCATTATCATTAAAAACGCGACCGATATAATTTTTTGAAAATTCGTGTTATTTTTGGTTTATAACTTGACAATTTCTTCTTTAACAATTTTTTTCTGAAAATTTCAATAATATTATCTAATAGTTTTTATATCACATCATAATCTAGAATCTTTATGCTTCAATTTAGCATACTTATCATATCATTATCATTAAAAACACGGCCGATATATTTATAGTTTACCAATTTCTTCAATAATAATTTTTTCCTGAAAATTTCAATAATATTATCTAATTGTTTTTATACCACATCGTAATCTAGTATCTTTAAGGTTCAATTTAACATACATATCATATCATTATCATTAAAAACACGGCCGATAGGATTTTTTGAAAATTTGGTGTTATTCTTGATTTATAATTTTATAATTTCTTCTTTAACAATTTTTTCCTGAAAATTTCAATAATATTATCTAATAGTTTTTATATCACATCGTAATCTAGAATCTTTAAGGTTCAATTTAACATACATATCATATCATTATCATTAAAAACACGGCCGATATGATTTTTTGAAAATTTGGTGTTATTTTTGATTTATAGTTTAACAATTTCTTCTTTAACAATTTTTTCCTGGAAATTTCAATAATATTATCTAATAGTTTTTATATCACATCATAATCTAGAATCTTTAAGGTTCAATTTAGCATACATATCATATCATTATCATTAAAAACGCAGCCGATATGATTTTTTGAAAATTTGGTGTTATTTTTGATTTATAGTTTAACAATTTCTTCTTTAACAATTTTTTCCTGAAAATTTTAATAATATTATATAATAATTTTTATATTACATCATAATCTAGAATCTTTAAGGTTCAATTTAGCATACATATCACATCATTATCATTTAAAACACGGCCGATATGATTTTTTGAAAATTTTGTGTTATTTTTGATTTATAGTTTAACAATTTCTTCATTAATAATTTTTTCCTGGAAATTTCAATAATTTTATCTAATAGTTTTTATATCACATCATAATCTAGAATCTTTAAGTTTCAATTTAGCATACATATCATATCATTATCATTAAAAACACGGCCGATATGATTTTTTGAAAATTTTGTGTTATTTTTGATTTATAGCTTTACAATTTCTTCTTTAACAATTTTTTCCTGGAAATTTCAATAATATTATCTAATAGTTTTTATATCACATCGTAATCTAGAATCTTTAAGGTTCAATTTAGCATACATATCATATCATTATCATTAAAAACACGGCCGATATGATTTTTTGAAAATTTGGTGTTATTTTTTATTTATAATTTCACAATTTCTTCCTTAACAATTTTTTCCTGGAAATTTCAATAATATTATCTAATAGTTTTTATATCACATCGTAATCTAGAATCTTTAAGGTTCAATTTGACATACATGTCATATCATACTTCTTAAAAATACGTCCTATTTGATTTTTTGAAAGTAGTTCAAAAAAAGAACTTGGAAAAAGAAAACTTGAAGAGCAATAGACACAAAACAGTTGCTGACTTTTTAGCAGACCATATACATATATAATTCTTTAAATATAGGGGATGAATGGCGACGGCAAAGAAGACTATTAAATCCATCTCTGAACTACAAAAACGTAATGCAGGATAACAACATTTTTAATAAGCACTCTAATGGTCTTATCAATAAGTTAAAGGAAGAAATAAATAATGAATCAACCGATGTAGTACACATTCTTGAAAATTTCACTATTGAGCAGACTCTCGGTTTGTTTCTCATTTATTACTTTAACTTTAATATTAATAAATAAATTGATATAGAAACGATATTGGGCGAAACGGGAGCTGAATTTGACAAAGAGAAAATAGCAGAATGTATGAAATTATTGACGCAAATTGTTTTGGAAAAAATGTTTTTCCCCTTAACTTATTTTAGAATAACACAAATATTCACAAAAGTTTATTGGGAGGAAAGGAATGCAATAAAAATTACGCACAACATCTTAAAACAATTTCTTAGAAGAAAACAGAAAGAAGATTGCGATTTAAAAATTAAGGGGGATCCCAGGTATATCGATATTTTATTGGGGGATAAAAATAACCGCGAAGTGGATGTTATAAAACAATTAATGTTGGCGACTACGGCTGTAAGAAACATCTATAACTATATTAATGCTAAATTAATAAATTAATTATTTTAGGCTTCTGACACAATAGCATCATCGTTATCGTTTATTCTTCACCACTTAGCCAAATCCCCCGAAATCCAAGTAAATATTTTTGATTCAAATCAAACATTTTAAATTATTAAATCAAATTTATAGCAAAAAGCTTACGAAGAGGTTCACTCAATCCTCGGTGGAGATATTCACCAAACAATAACGAACCAACAAGTAGCACAAATGAAGTATTTGGATTTAGTTATCAAAGAATCATTGAGATTAAGTCCAGCTATTCCTATGTATACGAGAATACTCGAAGAAGATGTAACTTACGAAGAAACCACATTACCTAAAGGATTAACGGTTTTTATGATCCCGTTTATGATGCATATTGATCCTGAATTATATCCGGATCCCGAAAAATTCATTCCCGAAAGGTTTCTCCCAGAAAATTTGAACCCAAATAGATATAGTTACGCACCTTTTAATCATGGTGTTCGGAATTGTATTGGAAAATTGTACGCAATGGTCTCGATGAAAATTGCTTTGGCAAAGTTGCTGCTTAATTATGAGTTTGTGGACGTTCACCATAAACTTTTTCTATCCGTGGAGGTTACTTTGACATCGAAAAGTGGGGTTCGAGTTGGAATACGTAAAAGGAACCACATGAAATAAAACAATTAAGTTATTATTATGTAATATTGTTAACAATAAAAAATTGTATCGATCGAGATTCAAAATGAAATGATGTGTTATATATCATTTTAAAGAGGACACTTTAATCTTTAATTTGGTATAAAATTGAAATTATAAGAAATTGAAGCTTTTTCTTAATTATTAAAAATTACCATATTTATAAAAAAATTGTTTTGATCGAGATTGAAAATGAAATGATAATGGTTTATATGTCGTTTTAAAGGGGACACTTTAAGCTTTAATTTGATATAAAAATCGTTTTTTCAACTTTAAAGCACGAGTCACCCCGATTTTTGAAAGTTGACGTTTTTCTTCGAAACAATTTCATTAAAATAATAATAATAATATACAGTGCGCGGCAAAATTATGGAACATATTCAATAAATTGATAACAAATTTTTTTTTTGCAAAAATGCCGAAACGAGTCAATTTTGGTTAATCATAACACACATTATGACACCATATTCACTTCCTGATAATCATTTTTTTAT